TAACGATGAGTGGAAGAACTTATTTTCCAAATTCCAATTGTATTTTTTAATTTCTGTATAGCCTATATCGAACAAGACACACGTTAGAATTTCACTGCAGCCGTGATTCGTCATCCGAGACGCAACCCAGAGATTTAACTGCTTATCCCAATTAATAAATAAATAAATAAATATTTAAATTTTGAATCTCTTCTCTTCGAATAAGTAGGAATTAATTCAACGATAGTCTTAAAATTAGCTCAAAGACACTGACAGTGTCACATATGTCTGACATGTCCTTAGGACCTGGATCTTTATTTTCCCACTGCAAAACTAATCAAAATCCAGTGTAGCTCTGACCAATATACTTAAAATACATTATTTTACAGAAACCCCCAAAATAAGTCACAGACTGTACTAACTGCTACACCAGGTTCCTCACAAATAGCTGTCATCAACCCAACTCTCAGCTAACTCTCACCTAAGACAAGAATGAACCTCCTAACATTCTCACTTCTCAAGTAATACTTCATTTTACCTAAAAATAGTGTCCTTTTAGAAAAACTCACCAAAAACTAAAGGTGATAGAGCAATTTAGGTTACCTATCGAATATTACAGATTAAAATTCGCGTCTAACAGTGCAATAATATCGTAACCTCAAAATAGACCTAGAGTCGTTCAAATTTCCCGCTTCTTCTCAGCAATAACTCGTCAACGAGTTCGAAGATAGTAAAATCTTGAAAAGTGTCATAGTCAAGGACCTAACTTCACCTCGTTCATCTCGCAAGAGACCTCTCTTGCTCATGGACACCACTGACCCCGCTGAACCCAACGCGTCCTGACGGAACCTTTCAATTGCTCAGGTGCCCGCTGTTGTTGTCATTGAATAACACGTTCTCATAACGCGAGGTGAGCATCGTTCAACGTCTACTTTGGCCAGGGGGTTTTCTTGCGTCAGCTCAACCCGCCGCTCTTGCGGGGGTTGGCTCCGTTTAAGCGTTCAAATACAACGCGAAGTCAGTTTGGCCACGGAAGGCTGAAAACTTTCTCGAACAGCTTAATGAGCAACGCTTAGCTCGCAGAACAATCGGGCGGACCTGCAGCAATTAAGAGCTCCGTACAGGGGCTGAACCAGACGTAAATCAGCCACGGGAGAGAGAGAGAGTGGGGACTGATGGCTGGCAGGGTATGTTACTTGATGGTGTGCGAGTGACTATGTGTACATGTGGGCATGGCGAAGAAAGACAGAGTCTTCTAAGTTTGGTGAACGGAAACTCTAAAGTAACTCTATGGGTATATACATATATAGGGTGTTTTGTTCGTGTGAGTGCGATGGAGTCTCTCGCAAGGGATCGAAAGCACGAAAAAATGTTCTTGCAATGATCTGACATGAATATTGCGTGATACACAAAATACAGGTAACCTTTGTATAACGTGGACATCGATTCGGAAAAATATCGCGTCATACGAAACCTAACCTAAGTTACAATAGAGTTACGAAAGTGAGGTTATGTTCCACAAGCACGACTTAAAGATATTCACTCTTTATTTAGGCGTGGAAGAGTATATTTTTATTTATTTTGTAATAACTATATAATCATGCAGTACAAGCAACATTTGGGTAACGTGGACATCAGGATTCAAAAAATTTGAGGTTATGTTCCACAAACACGATTTAACAATATTATTTCTCTACTTAATTATGGAAGAATATATTTTTTCTTATTAATCAGGAAATTAAAAAATAATAAAACTAGAAACATAGGTATGTAATTATTATTACCTTCAAAAATAATATTCTTTGGATATCTATGTGGGTGGCAGAGTGTGTTTATAACTTGTATGTAAATAAGTGCAAGTAACATTTGTGTAACGTGGATATCGGGTTTCAAAAAATTTGAGGTTATGTTCTACAAACACGATTTAGAAATATTATTTCTCTACTTAATTATGGAAGAATATATTTTCGTATTAACCAGCAAATTGAAAAATAATAAAACTAGAAACATAGATATCTAATTATTATTATCTTCAAAGATAATATTCTTTAGATATCTATGGGGGTGACAGGGTGTGTTTGTAGCTTGCATGTAAATACATTTTCACAATATATTTTTATGGTAAATATTTAATACATATTTGTATTTGTGTATACGTTATACGAGGGTCACCTGTATATATTTTTTGGCAAATGGAGCGATGGTGGGGGGGGGGGGGTAGAGTATATATATATGTTCATGAACAACTTTTCCAAAAACATCTTTTTTTTTGTTATAATTTAGAAAAATTAGAAGCTCTATCCCTTGTGAGATATTTTACTGTACTGATTTGAGAGTGATTTGACACCTAGAGTATATTTAGAGGGGACGACCATCGCAAAACAGAGGGCATGGCACGACACTACGGGGTTGCGTGTAATAGTCTTGAATTGAGTTTTGTATACTCGCCTTTCGATCGGCATAACAGCGAGTCTGTGTGCAAAACAAGTGACAGAAATTCGTTAAATTAGTGCTGCGTGTTGGTCGTGTTGCTATTCGTGTGTAATTTTTAGAGAAATAAAAAGAGAAAAAAAATTGAAAAAAATGTACGAGTTACATGTTAATTAGGCGCGTATGCAGGGTTGAGTGTAATTTTTTGAGACTGATGATCTCTTGTGTAGATAAATATTCTTCTCTCCGAATAATTTAGAATTTGTTAGATTTCAAATATCCAAAGATCGAATATAATTAATTTCCAAATTATTTCGAAATTGACAATTTTCACTAACATATTATATTTTAAATATATAAAAATAATATTTATACGAATGATTAATTAATCGATGATTAATATTTTCTCCATTATTGGTCAAATTTGTTGAAATTCCTATGTTTTTGACGTACAAAAATAATATTCAAGATTGCCTGTCAAAAATTCGTATTAAAATTGGGAAAAAATTACACCGTACCCGTTATACTCTTCTTTCGAAATTATCCGCTAAAGGTGGCTCTGTTATTGTCGAAAAAAGCTCAAAAGCGTGAACTTCCCTTGCTCGTATATTCTCGTCTGGCTTGACAAACGTTTGTTCGCGCTGTCGCGATATTTTCCCCTTTCCTTTCTATTTTCGCGTTTCACGACGACATGGTTTGAATTATGGCGATCAAACTGCGTGCCACGTTTTCGCGGATCTATAGAATTTAATAAACCGACGACCCTTCGTTACATTTATCGAAGCTTCCACAGGACGACGTTAACGTTTGTTGCAGCTGACGTGATCCCTTTTATCTCTCTATAATTATCTCTCAGACACGAACAAGTACGTTTGCCGTTGCCTCGAATGAACAGTCGAAGAGACGCCATTTGTCAACCCTTTTTCAGCTGTATACCCCGTCGTCTCACAATTAACAGAATTAAATTCGGTGAATGAACAGAGCGAAGTTTCCAGAAATGCCCTGTTATGTCATTGTATCGGATTCAAAATAGCATCATTGCAACATCTGCAAAGTAGATTTGACTATACCAGTGATGGCGAAACTGTGACAGGCTGAGACATTTTGGATGGAAAATAAATTGCAAAATAACGATGCAATTATTAATCCTTTTTTAAATTATTATTTTCGTTACAGAGAAATAGCAATTCGAAGATTTTCTGCTGCAACGTCGAGGATATTTTTGAAACGGTAAATAAGGAATGGAGTATAAATTAAGACTTGAAATTATTTTGTTTCCACATTCAATGCAATCTTAGGTTATTTTAGATTTAATATGTTAATTAACATGGATTTTCCGAATTTGATTAAACGGTGACTTAGGCTTACCTCTGGAGTGCAAAGAGTTAATTGCGAATTATTGAGTTACCATATAGTAGAAATGTCATCAAAAATATATAGTAGCAATTAAAAGAAGATTTGAATAACTCCGAATATTTTTCGACTTTTCAAATAAAATAATAAATATAAAATATAAATTTATTTTACATCGTTTTAATATAAGTCGAATATATCAAAAATGTAGCTAATAGCGTGAAGTTATGGATATTTTTAGATATGACATAGCACTAGCTAAATTTTGACAGACCGAGCTCAAGAAGTTCGTCATCACTTGTCTATACTGTCTAATAATATTTTGGTAAAATAAGTAAAATGGAATCATCTCTAAATTTGGTTATAGTATTCTAGGGATGACTAAAAATAGGCGAGAACCATAAGAACATACAAGTATATATTAAAAATTATGTTCCCGCTGATAATCTTCTGTCAAATCATAGTAAATCTGTCACAGTAAATGAACAAATCGCAGAATTTTCAATCATCAAAAATTCCAAAAGATACATAATACGAACCATCAAAATCAAGAATTTCTTCATCAACCATCAAAAATTTTTAACCATCAAAAATTACAAAAGATACATAAATTGTAAAATAAAGATGCAATTATTAATTGCTAATTGTTGAGTTACCATATAGTAGAAATGTCATCAAAAACATACAGCAACAATTAAAAGAATATTTTTCGATTTTCCGAATGAAATAATAAATATAAAATACAAATTTATATTACATCGTTTTAATATAAATCGAATATATCCAAAATATACCTCTTTGTTTAATAGACATACAAATAGCGCGAAATTATGGATATTTTTAGATATGACATAGTACTAGATAAATTTTGACAGACCAAGTTCAAGAACTTCGTCATCACTGGTTTATAGTGTCTAATAATATTTCGATAAAATAAGTAAAATGGAATCATCTCTAAATTTGGTTATAGTACTCCAGGGCTGAGTAAAAATAGGCTAAACCCCAAGAAAAATAATTTTGTTCTCGCTCATAATTTTCTGTCAAATCATAGTAAATCTGTCATAGTAAACGACTAGATCCGGACTTGATGGCAGAATTTTTAACCATCAAAAATTCCAAAAGACACCCAGCTCAGACGAGAATACAGCGAGGTAGCATACATTCGAATGTATGTTCAGAAAATTAGGGAATGCTAAGCCTAAATCCTAGACCTGATAACACTCGTTCGACATACGTACTTCAATGAGTCGATCTCGCGGTCCTGTGGATCGAACCATTGTATGTTCGAGACCAGCTTCGTGTTTTCGACGATGGGTTTGCAGGTTAGGATGATGCTCTTCCCGATTGCCTTCGTCTGTATGTCCCCGCTCGGCAGGATTTCCAAGGATGGCTCGGCCGCGTAAGCTGTAAGCAAAATTCAGACGTGACCGCTCGTTATACGGACTAGGAATGGATCGTTAGCGTCAAGTTTCGCCCTCGGAAAGGCGCAACAGGGGTTGCAATAATTCTAAGATGGCGGGGATGACTTCACGCGACAGGGCGCTTTAATTGTTCACGGGTAAACGCGCGTAATTACGTAATAACGGAGAGATTGCGTTTCTGGTAACAGGCGGCCATTTTGGAAAAATGACAACACGGTATTTCTCAAAATTTTCCAAAATTCCGAATATTTTCGGGAGTCGTGTTCCCCTCCTTGTTCTGACAGTTCTGTGACCTCGCCCAATCCTAATATTCGGTCGACGATTAGGTGTAGAAACAGGCGGCCATTTTTGAAAAATGACAACGAGGTATTTCTCCAAATTTCCCGAATTTCCGAACATTTTCGGAAATCGTGTCCCCCTCCTTGTTCTGACAGTTTTGTAACTTCGCCCAATCTTAATATTCGGTCGACGATTAGATATAGAAACAGGCAGCCATTTTTGAAAAATGACAACGTGGTATTTCTCCAAATTTTCCGAATTTCCGAACATTTTCGGAAATCGTGTCCCCCTCCTTGTTCTGACAGTTCTGTGACCTCGCTCAATCCTAATATTCGGTCGACGATTAGGTGTAGAAACAGGCGGCCATTTTTGAAAAATGACAACGTGGTATTTCTCAAAATTTTCCGAAATTTCGATTATTTTCGGGGTTCCTGTTCAATCTTATCCTGGGAAAGTTTCGTGACCTCAACCAACCCTAATATTTCGGTTGACGATTAGATATAGAAGTAGGTGGCCATTTTTGTTGACATACTGACCCGATATTTCCTCAAATTTTCCGAAATCTGAGACATTTTCAAGAGTGTTAGATGTTTTCGGGGATGCTTGATCGCGAAAAAAAATTCTCGTTCCGTCTCGTTTTGAAAGTTCCCAACCTAACCTAACCTAACCTAATCTCAACTAAATACTGTCATCTTGATAATTAGCTGCATGATCAGGTCGCGTTTTCAATAAAAATTAGAGAACTATCATAATATAGATTTAGATTCTTAAAACAGTTACTCATTACAACTAATATCCGCATGCTGGGTTGGCCAGCCAGTGAGTAGTACCGATTTTCTCCGGCAGATGGCGCAGCGTTGTTACGCACTACAAAGCCTCTGCGAGTGGAATTAATTTAATATTCGTTCATAATAGTGTCTGACTTTTCATTGTTTAATCCTAATATTCGGTCGACGATTAGGTGTAGAAACAGGCGGCCATTTTTGAAAAATGACAACGAGGTATTTCTCCAAATTTCCCGAATTTCCGAACATTTTCGGAAATCGTGTCCCCCTCCTTGTTCTGACAGTTTTGTAACTTCGCCCAATCTTAATATTCGGTCGACGATTAGATATAGAAACAGGCAGCCATTTTTGAAAAATGACAACGTGGTATTTCTCCAAATTTTCCGAATTTCCGAACATTTTCGGAAATCGTGTCCCCCTCCTTGTTCTGACAGTTCTGTGACCTCGCCCAATCCTAATATTCGGTCGACGATTAGGTGTAGAAACAGGCGGCCATTTTTGAAAAATGACAACGTGGTATTTCTCAAAATTTTCCGAAATTTCGATTATTTTCGGGGTTCCTGTTCAATCTTATCCTGGGAAAGTTTCGTGACCTCAACCAACCCTAATATTTCGGTTGACGATTAGATATAGAAGTAGGTGGCCATTTTTGTTGACATACTGACCCGATATTTCCTCAAATTTTCCGAAATCTGAGACATTTTCAAGAGTGTTAGATGTTTTCGGGGATGCTTGATCGCGAAAAAAAATTCTCGTTCCGTCTCGTTTTGAAAGTTCCCAACCTAACCTAACCTAACCTAATCTCAACTAAATACTGTCATCTTGATAATTAGCTGCATGATCAGGTCGCGTTTTCAATAAAAATTAGAGAACTATCATAATATAGATTTAGATTCTTAAAACAGTTACTCATTACAACTAATATCCGCATGCTGGGTTGACCAGCCAGTGAGTAGTACCGATTCTCTCCGGCAGATGGCGCAGCGTTGTTACGCACTACAAAGCCTCTGCGAGCGGAATTAATTTAATATTCGTTCATAATAGTGTCTGACTTTTCATTGTCGTTACAAATGATTCTAAATGCAGTAGTATGACACACACACATCACTGAAATATACACCGTGTGACAAAAGTTGCGAGACGAAATAGAAAGCAGAATCTAACATGATTTTTTCAGGTAATTTTTTATTTTTCACGCGATTCGAATTCTTTTCATACCCCATTTCTCGCATAGGGTATATAATCTTCGCATATATCGAATTATAGAACGTACTATCTTATCTTAATCTTCCTCGACGTATCTATACCCCCCTGTCTGATCTATCTCGCAACTCCGTTCTACCAAAACCGAATTACAAATAAAACCCGTAGACCACGCGGTCTTAGCAGCAATAATGGGTAGGAGAAGCAATTTCCAGGGCTGATTTCGTTCATGAAAATAAAGAAACGAGCGGAGAACGAGATACTCGGTGACCGAGAAAAGTGCAATTTCCTCGTAAGGGGACTTTAGGAAAATCGTTTCGTGCCGGTGCAACGAGGAATATCCGTTCCTCCTGAATTTATCATGGCGACACGACGCGTGCTGCGTCGCCTTTAGGAATACGGGACATTCGTTGAAACATATTGCGGCGACTTCTGGCGTATCTTGGAGCGAAGGAAGGAAGGCGCGGGGGGTCGGGAACGGGTAAAAAGTGGTGCAAATTGACACGGAAAAATGTGCGCAAACAGAGAGAATAACGGGAACGGGAACAAAGAGCAGTCACACGGGGGTGGAAAAAATTGTCTGTGGTTTACGACTCTTTTTCAGGACACCGTACACGGTGTACACGCTGGGGAAAATGTCATCTATCAAGTCTGGCCTCCGTGATAGCATTTGACGTCGCGACACGATGTTTGCCTATTCGACAAGAGAGAATGGATGCTTACAAAGTAATTTCGTCATTTCGCAACGCTTTTGACGTTTCTCTACAAAAATATAATCCTAGTATGATGCCGTTTGATAAAAGGATAATTCCATTACCTCACGACCCTGTTGAAAATATTTTTAACCTTTTGCACTCGAGAGGTAAGATTCAGTCACCATTTCATAAAATTTGAAATATCGATATTAATTAATATATCAAATTTAATGTAACGTATGCGAGGTATTGAAGTCAAATAATTCTTTATTTACTGCTCAAAAAAGTATCGTCAGTTTTTTAGTAGAGAATCTTTGAATTTCGAGTGCAAAGGATTAACGGGCAATTTTCGTTTACAGATTTAAATTGGACACCCTGTACGACTAAATTAAAAATACAAATAAAAACGTTTCATTATCTATTTTGCATAACATTAGTTTATAATGAGATAAAATAAAATTATTTTTAGATGGAATTCGTAGGTTTAAAAATTTTTTAATGAGACATTAGGTATGATTTAGGCTACTTTCATATTGTAATCTAAACAGTGAATTAGGACCCCAAAAAGGGGTGCAGAATGATTTCTAAGTTTACAATTATTAGTTTCTAGGTTTGTTTATTCTGCTATAGTTATTTCAGTCATTATTATATTAATTAATGGAGGTAATTAAATATTAAATTATAATTATATTTTTTTGTTCTATATAGGAAGGGGTTGAAGACTATTTAATGATAATAGTAAAGGGTTGTGACTTATTTTCCATTTTGGCGTATGTTATACTAGAAAATAAAAATTATACAAACATCCTAATTTACCTAACTTCCATCAGCAAGTGTATCCATAACAGTGACACATTATAGCACATGCTATTTATACCAATACACGCAGTAGCTAGTATACACCGAGTACAAATGATACACAGTATACATACACCTATAGCACTGTCGTCATAGTGATAAAACATCGTCTATTTAATTATTATAGTAAAGGGTTGTGACATATTTATTCACGTATAGTATTTTCCATTCCAGTATATGTTATTCTAGAAAATAAAAATTATACAAACATCCTAATTTACCTAACTTCCACCAGCAAGTGTATCCATAACAGTGACACATTATAGCACATGCTATTTATACCAATACACGCAGTAGCTAGTATACACCGAGTACAAATGATACACAGTATACATACACCTATAGCACCGTCGTCATAGTGAAGAAACATCGTCTATTTATTATTTCAAGAGGCAAAGAAAGTACAAGGAAGTAAATCGAGGGAACAATGACAGAGAAAGTACTATACTCGTATAGACAGAAGGGTAAGGAGAGTTACGTGAATAGGGGTTGAAGAAAATCGTCCCTGACTCACGTCTCGGTTCCACGAGATCATACAGCACTGTCATGCCGTATTATAGTGAGTCATAAGTGCCTGCATGTCGCGAATCCCCTAATCGCAACGATTCCAGCTATTCGCAGCACGGCACCAGCCTCGACGAGTTACTCGAACGAGACAAGGCACGTTTACAAGGTTCCAGGAATTTAGAAAAGGAACCAGAACTCGCTTGCCTGTGCGCACGTGTCTTCATTTAAACTTGCCATCCCCTTTGACTGCTCTCAAAGAACGGTAAATTATGGCTTCATATTTAAATGAAGTTGAACGTCTGCGAAGTTCCTTCGAAGGTAATATACGGGAGACAATTACCAGGGTTGTTAGACGTGCAAAAGTTGGCAAGAATTTTTGTTCCGAACAAGTGTGCTTATATATAAACGAGATATTTCCGAGGGTAGATAGTCGAGAATTTATCGAGGTGTAGATAAGATAATAATTTAATTCCATTACCAATGTTTATATATATATAAATTAATAATGAAATAATTTAGATAACAATTTAATTCTATTACCAATGTTTGTATATATATATTACTAATGAAATGATGAAAAGAAGGAAAAATTGTTTCATTTTTTCCGACACCCTTTATCTATTTCAAATTTCGAGAAACTTCAATTCAAAACCAATCCTCTGAATTATTAACCCTTTGCACTCGACGATTTTTTGGTTAAACAAGAGTAGGAGTTTAAAGATTTTCTGCTATAAAGCTGATGATATCTTTTCGAGCAGGAAATAAGAAATCGTATAATAATTAACACGTAGAATTATTATTACGATTTCGATACCTCGCACACCGTTACATTATCTCAAATTTATCACACCAATTAATATCGATCTTCGAAATTTCATCAAATGGCGAACGAATGAAAAGCACTCCTCGAGTCCAAAGGGTTAATGGCTGTCTTAAATTTCCTAAGTTTCTCAACTCTTTCGAAATTTTTATTATAACACTCGCAATCCTTAGCGAATTTTCCATTTCAAACCTCATCCCCGAATTTAATTTAATAAAATTTAAGAAATATCGGACAACATCCCCCTCCACGATCAACAACCGATGACTCAACCTAACCTCCTCGCGTCCAATTTGCAAATCGAAACCTCTCTGCACCCGAACGATATAAATCTGTCAGGAACTTGGTAAGACGCTGAAATCGTATGATAATTAACACGTAGAATTATTCGGTTTCGACTGATTTCGATACCTCGCACACCGTTACATTATCTAAAGTCTGACATATTAATCAACCCTTTGACTGCCACGCCGAAATCACATGTCTCCCTCAGGACGCCTCATGAGATGCACCGCTAGATGCAAGATTTGTTCTAATATTTTTGTGACGTTCCAATAAAAATTTTAATTGTTCAATGGGGCACTTTTTATTTCAAAGTATCTTCTAATTAGCGGTTATATTCAAAATACGCTAACTGTCAATTTTCATTCAATGTTGTTCAATGCAGTTCAAGCGCTCCGGTCACCAATGACCACGGTGGCGTCACAGGAGAAACCGTGGCCGGTCATATATGACCTACGTGGCAGTCAAAGTGTTAATATCGATCTTCGAAATTTTATTAAATGGCGACTGAAGGGCGCAAAGGTTTAAATAAAGTATACCGATTTGAAGTATTCCTAATTCCCTTTTATAAGACACCGATATCGTGTCAGTAGTTTTGCTGTATATCAGACAAGAGTATATTTGATACAAAAGGTTGTCAATAGAACGTTCATTGTAAGGCCCCTAAGGCCAGGATCTCTATGTCTAACCATTACCACATGGCGAAACCTGGTAATTAATATCGTTTTTCAAAAAATAATTTATGAATTTTTATCATTTCATTTTGAACTGTAATTATTTTCAATAATTAGTTAAGAAATTTAATCATTTATTTGTTGCTCAATTGTTAATTTTATATTTGATCGTTGGAAAATATGAAAATGGAAATTTTCATTAAATTTTTATTTTAGAGGTACTTCAAAAACTATCATGGAACCATAATTTAAGTCACGTGATCGAAAATAAACCCCCTTATTTGACATATTAATGAACATCGATCTTGGAAATTTTATCAAATGGTGACTGAAGGGTTAACTGTAAGTCGAGACGCGAAAGATTTGTGGTTTATCTGGTTTGTGTAAAATACCCTGGTTATTGACTTAGAATTTACGAAACTATTATCTCCAAATTAATTCCATCCTACCTTCGTGTATAATTCATGAGCCACCCTTCAACCATTAGCGAAATACCAATGATCCCTATATTCCGCATCTCCAAATTCCATCATTTAAAGAGACGTCTCTATGAAGTCTGTGAAGCCACTGATAGTGGTTAACATTAAATTAGACGTGCGTTAAAATTCCTATTTCATGGCAAATGTTATTATAAAAATATGACTCGAAGATTCGCATGAAAGAAAAATCCTATATAAATCAGTTCGATTATAATATACTTTTAAAAAATAGCACATGCGAAATATTAGAAAAATAGCTAATTAAAATTAAAATATTCCTTGGTATATGCTGTAACAATAAATTAAAATTATCAAACGTTATTAAAACGATATTACAACGAAATAGGTTTCTCATAGAACAGCACGCGCAAAATGGCACCATGAGTGAAATCGCACTGAATAAAATGGCACCTCGTGCTTGGACTAAAATGACACCTCGAATAAGATCACACTTGGAATAAAATGGCACCCGGAAGAAAATGGGTACTTGGACCAAAATGGCACCTCGTCTGAAATGTCACTTCGAATAAAATGGTACTTCGATTGAAATGGCAGCAGGACTAAAAAATGGCTCCTGGAATAAAATGGCACCATGAGAGAAAACTAATACCACTAACCACTATTCGTGTATCGATCACTAAAAATTTCTCTAATCCAACAGTGACTCTGCTAACCCTGACTAGTTCCCACATGATAAGTATATGCAACTGCTACCGTCTGTGTGTCCAAAAGCACAAGACGTCTGCACTGCATGAAAGCCCACCTGTCTATACACCATTCCGCGAAAGCAGATTACTCGATCATAATCAAACCAATCAGCCTCTCCTCCTCCCGTCAGATCCACGGCCCGACAGATCGTTAGCGCGCGTGATCGCAACGAATACCACGGTCGATCCGAGCTTCTTACCCGAGTGGTTAATGGCGCGGGGTGGCGGCGTGGCCCTGAGGACGTACACGCAAAGCACGGAAATGCAGATCGACGTCTCGGCGGCGCTCATCCTCGCAAGGCGGCGGATGCCACGAGTGCTTTTACGACGACATACGTGCGTCAACTATGACGCCGGAATGCGGCTGGGTTATGCCGGCGTGACACGCAACGAGCCTCGGGTGCCCCGCCGGTACGCACAACAGGAAGCCAGAATTAAGCTAATTAATCGTGACGAGCGAAAGTACGGAATTGGCCTAACTAGGAAACGTTGCAACCGCGTGTGCTCCCAGCCGCTCGCAGCCTCTCTGTGTCTATAGAAGGATCGCGAATAATCTGTCCGTGGATCTCGCGTGGTTCCATCTGCGAATTCGCCGCAGTCTTCAAATTTACCTTGGAAAATGGCGGACGTCGCATACCCAGCTTCGCGCGAGGTTTCCTGTCCTACCTGGCTGTTGCAGCTGGATTAAGGTGGACCTTAGGATCGTTGTTTGCCTTGGTAATTGAAATTACCGGTAATGCGATCAGGTGGCGGGATAACTGGTTCTAGGAGGCACGTTGATCAGCGACCAATTTCGGGTTAATAGCCACGGGTCCTAATGTCGATTAGAGTATGCAGAGGAATGTACAGGAGGAGCTGTACTTGGCGTTTTCAGCAGGTGCAACGATAAGGCTAATCGGCCTCCGTTTTGAGAACAGCTGCCACGATGGCGCGGAGGGGGTGATAGTGCAGGTCTGCATGAGGGAATGAAAGACTCGAGTGTTAAGGAAAGATAATGGAAGTCTAGTCTTGTTGCACGTGGAATTGGTATCTGATGAAAATTTTGGGATTCGAACACTTGGGATTCGAAGTCTTGGGATGATTTAACCCCATATGGATACTATTATTATACCCCAGGCAGCGAATTTTTGAAATTACATTTATTAGTGAAATTTTGTTCTGGAAAATGGAACTCTCGTTTCTATATTTTATTCTATATTTTATATTTTATATTTTATATATTTCCATATTTTATATTTTATATATTTCTATATTTTATATTTTATATATTTCTATATTTTATATTTTATATATTTCTATATTCTATATTTTATATTTTTTGAAGTTAGGCATGTATTAGTTAATTATTAATTACTTAATTACTTATTGAGAAATTCATTCGATCCGGATATTGCGTATTCGAAATTTAAAAAGAGTAGAGTAGAGATCTTGAAAAAATATTTGACAGCTTTTTATTAGTTTTTTGTATCAATAATCATCCATATTTAGAGGTGCAAATAGTTTCCAAAAATTGGAGGTGGAAGCTTTTTTATTAATAAAATTATATCATATTTAAAAATTGTTAAATACACTGAAAAATGGAACTATCTCGATTCTATATATTTCCCATTTTTGAATTTAATTAATTTCATCCGGATATTGCGTGTTCGAAATTTATGAAGAGTATAGTAGAGATCCTGAAGAAATATTTGACACCTTTTTCCCAGTTTTTTTGTATCAATAATTATGCATAATTAAAAGTGCAAATAGTATCCAAAATTGGAGATGAAAGCTCTTTTATTAATAAAATTGTATCATATTTAAAAATTTCTAAATGCACTGAAAAATGCAACTATCTCGATTCTATATATTTCCCATTTCTGAATTTGATTAAGTTCATCCGGATATTGCGTGTTCGAAATTTATGAAAAGTATAGTGGAGATCCTGAAGAAATATTTAACACCTTTTTTCCAGTCTTTTGTACCAATAATTATTCATAATTAAAGGTGTAAATAGCTTCCAAAATTGAAGATGGAAGCTTTTGTATTAACCCTTTGCACTCGAGAGGCGACTCTCGGCCGCCATTTAATCAGATTCTAAAGATCGATGTTAATTAATATATCAAATTTAAAATTGCCCAACGA